TTGTTTAATTACGTTTTGTAACCAAACGACAACTATTGCTATTATTTGTAGTAGACGTATATTATCAAAATTTCGTTGTAAAACTTTAATAATGTTTTTATCAGTAATATATATAAAGCTTTCAAGCAAGCATTTTCGTTTTCAACGGTAATAATAATTTTTTTTTTATGAAAACTTTGAAAGTTATGACTGCAACAGTATTTCTAAAAATCTCTAAAAGTATATGTTTTATTAGTAGTGCAAGTATCGTTAATTTGCTGAATTCTTGTAAAAATAATAGTTCTAAATCGTATATTATGACTAAAGTATTTTGTTCAAGTTCAATAAATTGAAACGAAGCGACAATCCGCCTTTAAGTACACAATGAATTTTAAATTGGTTTGTTAGTAACTCTTTTTCTCTTCTCCCCAAAACAAATGACATTCTTAATATTAGTTCATGTCAAAACAATAATAATAATAATAATAATTATTATTATTATTATTATTATTTGAATCTCACTTCATGATGAGTTTTTATTAATATTTTTGGATTCGATCATTAAGTTTCATAATCAAAAATTTTTTTTTCGACAAAAAATCGATAAACAAATTTCTCTCGTCGTTATCTCGTTGAAAATTCAAAAAAATTTTTTTTTTATCTTAACATTAATATTATTATTCAAATGAAAGCGTACAAATATTGGTGTTCCATATTAACGGATAAAACCGACATTATTGATAAACGTTACATTCAGATTAAAATAGAAATAAAATAAAGAGCAAATATAAATATGCACATTCAGATAATGTTTCAAACTTTCTAAATTTTTTATATCATATAATGAATCGATTCGGTCTAAGTTTTTTATTTTTATTCATCTTAACTCAATTTGTACAAATTGAATTATTATATGCTCAAACAATTAGTCCAAAAAAATTTATAAAAAATTATCAAAGAGAGTCTATAATTCACGATGATAAGGGTGTAACTTTAAATCAAGAATTACCACCAGCTGATGGCAAAGCACCAGCTGATGGTAAAGCACCAGCTGATGGTGGTAAAGCACCAGGTAAAGGACCTGACGGTAAAGCACCAGCCGACGGCAAAGCACCAGCTGATGGTAAAGCACCAGCCGACGGCAAAGCACCAGCTGATGGTAAAGCACCAGCTGATGGTGGTAAAGCACCAGCCGACGGCAAAGCACCAGCTGATGGTGGTAAAGCACCAGGTAAAGGACCTGACGGTAAAGCACCAGGCGATGATAGTAAAGCACCAGGTAAAGGACCTGACGGTAAAGCACCAGCCGATGATGGTAAAGCACCAGCCGACGGCAAAGCACCAGCCGACGGTAAAGCACCAGCACCAGCACCAGGTAAAGCACCAGGTAAAAGACCTGACGGTAAAGCACCATCAAATGGAAAAGCACCAGCTACAGCAAAAACACCTGCAGCATCTCCAACTCCAGTAAAATCTCCTAAAGTTAAAGCATTAGAAAACAATAATACAAGTGTAATCACCGGTTCAGTGGTAGGAGGAATATTTGGAGTCATTATTTTGATAATAATTTATTTATTCGTATTTAAAAAGTATAAACCAAAAATGAAG